CCAAACAGGCTCGGCTGCTCAGCACAGTCAATTACTGTCTGTGGGGCGCAAAACAGAAAATTGTGAGTGGACAAACAAAGTTTAGTTTCAATTAAACCAAAGTAATTTAACCCCACCGTTTAGAAAACCATGCATGAAACTAATGCATTAAAAACCATCATATTCATAATTACATAAAGTATGCTCAAGACCAAAGCTAAATCCGAAATCCATAATGAAACTTGCAAATCAACCCATCCAAACATTACTCAAAATAAACTCTCTAAATACGTGCCCAAAGGTGCGACCAGCAAGGAAGTATCCTCACTGAAAAAAACAAGAACAAATGAGTAGCCATATATGTATAGATATGTATATATGTATTATATAGGAGATATAGTATATATATATATATATATACATAACACACCTAGTTGTAACGGGGAAACAATCCAATAGGGGATTGTTGACTAGTCCACATGTAAACCGCCCTCAAAGACCATGTGGCTAGGGATGAGCCGTCCAACTGGGGGACTGACACTCTAACCCAGCACGTATGGACGAAGAATCAAGACTCATACGCCTGGAACAACCCTATGCGCGCAGACTACCCAATTAAGGGTCTACAGCGACACCCCGTTAAGGTATGCCCCGGGTCCTGACATATCCAAGTATCTCACATTTCCATTTCCAAGTTCCATTTCAGGGGAGGTACACATGGTAATGCTTATAGCACTTCAAACTGACATCTAGTCTCACATTTTTCCACATCTCACAACCACTTCCCAAGTACCTCACACATACTCAACAAAGATAAAACTTTCCCAAATCTTATTTATATAACTCAAGATACTTAAATACGTCAAAAGCCAAATATATCACAATACTTTACAAAAGTAATAGTTTCACTTGTAACGTATAAGGTAAATTCCAATAAACCCCTTTAAATTCTTATGCATAGAAATTTCATCATGAAAGCATGCTATTTACTTAAAAACAAAGTCCACTCACAAGTAGTCCCACGCTACTTGACCCTATGCGGAGTCGGATTACCTATTTCAGAATACGAACAGGATATTAAAATCAAATGCTTCGAACAAGGACTTTAAATTAAAATCCTAATTTCCCGGGTCCAACTAAGAGTTTCAAGCGAAGGGATAGCCTCGGAAGACGCTCGGTCAACCAGGCGGTCAAACTTTCCAAATTGGGTCAACCGAGCCCACGGGACCCACGACCTCAGTTATGATACGAAAGTTCCTAGGAGTTCCACAAGGTCTAGGATATACGTCTTGCAAGTTTAGTCCAGATCGGACAGTCGGATAGCTCACTATCGGACGATAAGACGATTAACGTAAAACCCCAAACTTTAAGTTATTGAATCGGAACATTCGGGGCTCCGATTCACGATCCGTCGAATCCTACACGATCCTAGGAATACCTAGATCAACATAGATGAAAATGGAAGCGATCCAACGGTTCTAACATATCGAACCTGGAAATCACACAATATGTAAAATCTGTTCGGGGTTCAAATGTTATCCGAATTGAGATCTGCGAATTCCTACGCGGTCGTGACAACTAGGAAATTATTTTAGGACAGAATGCCCTTATGCTACAGTACCCACATGCCGCCACACGCGCTGGCAGCGCGTGGGTGTCGAAAGTGATATCGCTTCGCCGAAAAAACTCAAAATCACGGCTCCAGACTCCTACCCTAGGTAAAACACCTAATTTTGAGTCACTTTTGTTCTTGGACATACCCCAAAAAGTGACCGAAAGTGGCCGGAAATTCAACCCGAAGTCCGGCCAAACTTTGGATCCAAAATCGAACCACCTATGCTAGAAATTGATGCAATCCTACCCAACAGGCAGCTAGAGCACGAAGAGTAGATGGATTTCCGTACCTCACTCGTCGGGAACGATGGCCGGACGGCGGAGATAGAGCGGCTGGAAGTTCTCGCGAATTCTGGCATGTTTTTTGTATATTCCGAAGTCTGGGCAGCGACTGACGGCTGGAGGTGGCCTGGGGTTCGACGGCGGGGCACATCCGGTCAGTTTGGTACCGGAGCCGTGGGCTGGGGTGGCCGGAAACGGTGGCTGCGTGGGGGAGACGACGGCTGGAGGTGCTGTCGAGGGGGAGAGGGACGCACGGGAGGGAGAGAGAGAGAGAGAGAGAGGGAAAAAAAGTTATTTTTTCCTGATTTTATCAAAATTAATTTTTGAAAAAATTACGATTATGCCATTGGAGGTTTTTAGATCGTATCTTCTTCGTTATAAATCCGAATTTCAAAAACTTGTCCCAAACAAACATTGACCAAAAAACCCCTATTCTCAAGGGCAAACCGGTGATTTCACAATAAATAAATCGAAAATTAAATAAGTTCGGGACGAGATGTTACAATTGTTCTCGTAACTGAACCCTAACAAAGTTTATACACTTATATTGGTCAAACATACTTTCAAACATACTCATAAAGGGTGAAGGTGATTGATGATGCAGTTTAGCGAAACATCTTCTTCTTAGTAAGTTAGAGCTTATCTCCTGGCTCTAGCGTAACTTTATGTTTGAGGTATAATGCTAACCATATTCGGTCTTGAAATTGTGCTATTAGGGCTTTTAGGTGAACATTAGTTATCAATAGTTTTGAATTATTAATATGAGCCGAATCTTGCTTCACTTAGAGCATCCACAATCATGCTCCTTATTTTTTAGTTAAAATTTAGCTAAAAACACATAAAAGCTATTTTAAGAACTCTCTATAAAATTTGAACTCCAATCATACCTAGTTTAAGGAGTCATAAATACTATAATTATTTCTTAATTCAATATAATTGGTCCATCTTTATTAAAAAAAAGGGAGCAATTTTACTCACCACATTAACTAGAGGTGTATCCTCACTACCACCCTCAAAGGCGTACGCGTCCCATTATTAACCTTAATTAACTTTTATGTGGAAATCTGAAAAAATAAATAAATAAGGGGCCCACAACCTTCTCTTCTCTCCCCTCTTTCCTCCTTTTACCTCTTCCTTTCCTTTCTTTCCTTCCCGACCCCCCGACACTTCTCTCTCTTCTCTTCTCTCTGCTCCCTCACCAATATGCTCGTCAAATTCATTGAAGAAATCTGTTTCATTTACTTACTTGTGACTCTATTCATCATCTGGGTTTTTGTTTTAGTTTTGTTATTAATGATTTGTGGGCTTTCTCAAATCTGCATTTTGCACGGATTCTTTGAATTTATTTTTGAGAAGGGCCAAATATGTTGGTGTTTTGGTATTCAAGCTGGGTTTTGTGAATTGGTTTGTTAGAGAAGAATGAAGGAATAGAGAATATTGAAAGAATGCTCTGCTTACTCACACAGTATGTGTGCAAGCGTTTTGTATATTTTTTTTGTCTGTAAGAATGAGCTCACATGGCATGTACTACATGACCATTAGCTCTTAGCTGGATTCACACAAGCCACAATGAATCTCAGTCATACATCTGTCTCAATTCTAGGATCACTACACATAACTATTTTAGCCTTACATCTTTTGACCTCACACTTGGCAGATATGCTCAAGTGAATACACAAATAAACTCATCTTATTTCACTAATACTAATCAGCTATAAACTTATAATTCAACAAAATATCCTTGCCTCCCTGTTGCTTTGGGAAGTATAAGATTGAATTAATTAAACGAATTATTTGCGTTAGGCTTTGATTAGAGACAACGCTTTTGGAAGTTCAGCTAATAAAATTGGTTATTTGTGAGACCATTCATCCCAAATCTGGTTATTTATGGAGGCTTTGTTATTTGTGAGAACAACCAACGGTTTTGTTATCAAGCATTTTTGGCACTAGATTTATACCTTTTTCTCTTTAAACTTCAATGTTGATGAAGATGTGAATGAATCCTATTCAAATAAAACATCTAAACCCTCTGGTTTTCTATTTTTTGAAATGGGTGAAGGTCGCCGCACGGACCTTAGTGTATTGTACCTGGGTTGTAGCCTGGGGGGCTTTTTACTTTTTAGAGCCCAAATTAAATTTTTAGCCCGCCCAAGCCCACTCACACAGCAGCAATGTATCCCTTCACTTCATGAATTAGCTCTGGCGCTGGGTGCACTTCGAAAGCAAAAAGACTAAGAAGAAAAAACAAGTTAACAACGAGCTGACCAGATATTTGGGTTGGGCTGCTGCCAGGTTCTGCTCCTTTCCTCTCCTCTCCTAAAGGTTTAACTAAAGGTTTATTTTTCTAATTTTATTGTTTGTCTTTGTCTTCTGTTCTGTGTTGTTGATGATGTTGTTTGCTTTGGTTGGCTGTTTTGGTTGTCTTGTTCTGGTTGTTTTGCTGCTTCGTTGGCATGTTTTGGTTGTTTGCCCTATTTGCTCCTGGTTGTTTGCTTCTTTGTTGTTTTCTTCATATTCTTTTCTTCCCCCAATTTGTTGTAATTGAAATTTGGGGATTTCGTTGGGGATTATATGAATGATGAATTATTAATCAGGGATTAGGTGAATTAATTAATTGCTAACATGTTGTCTTCTATATATTCTTTAATAGGTTATATATTTAAAATGCTTGGTCAACATCAAAATCCTAAGAGATTAAAGACTCTTCGGGATTTTTTTAAGAGGAATGTTAATGAATCGTCAACTAGCATATGCCTCCTCCATCTCCTCCAATTTGTGAGGAACAACCTCATTTAGAACCTCAGAGAGTTGAGTCTGAAAATGTAATAGTCGATTCTCAAAGACAAGAATTTGATACTAATTCTCTTGAGCGTGATCCGGGATTACGTCCTCAAATTGACACATTTCTACCCAATGAACGTGATAATGTTCGAAGAGCATATATTATGTTAGGTCCATGTCAACCAAAATTAGATGAATATCCATCACACTTCGAAGGGAATCAAATGCGTCGATTTAATGGTAGTTGGTATAAGCAATTCCCTTGGCTTGAGTATTCGGTTCATTATGATAAAGCATTTTGCTTTCCATGCTTTCTTTTTAATATTGATCGCTCACATAAGGCATTCACTCAAGATGGGTTTAGAAGTTGGAAACGAATTGGTGGAAAAGATTGTGTTTTCCATACTCATGTAGGCATTATAAATTCACCACATCATTTTGCTATGCAAAAGTGGATGGATTTAAAAAACCCGAGTCACCATATTGACAAAGTAGTTCAACCCCCACATGAAGTTACAAAAAATCGGTTGAGGCTTACAACCACAATAGAGGGCATTAGATATCTAGCAAATCAAGGAATGACTTTTAGAGGTGACGATGAATCTTGTGACTCATTTAATCGTGGTAATTTCATTGAGTTGATAAAAGCTTTTGCAAGAATGAACGAAGAAGTTGAAAAAGTTGTGTTAAAGAATGCTCCCTTCAATGCCCAATATATTTCACATAAGATACAAAAGGAGATCCTAAATATCTTTGCTAACAAAGTGAGGAAGATGATACGCGATGAAATTGGGGAAGATGGGAATTTTTGTATTCTCATTGATGAAGCACTTGACGACTCTAAGAAGGAACAAATGGCTATTATCCTAAGGTTTGTGGGTCGTGATGGGCATATTCGAGAAAGGTTTTTTGATATTGTGAGTGTTCATGACACTAACTCCTTAACTCTTAAAACTGATATTTGTAAAGTGCTTGGTAAGCATAGTCTTTTAGTGAGTAATATGCGTGATCAAGGATATGATGGTGCTAGCAATATGCGTGGTCAATGGAGTGGCTTACAAGCATTATTTCTTAATGATTGTCCATATGCATATTATATACATTGCTTTGCTCATCGCCTCCAATTAGCTTTAAATGCTGCAGCTAAAGAGATAGGACTTGTTTGGAGATTTTTTTCAATGTTAAATAATATTGTGAACTTTGTTTGTGCTTCTGCCAAACGCCATTCTGAGTTAAAATTAACTCGTCAAGCTGAAATTGAAGACTTACTGGCAGCTGGAAGACTTGGAATAGGTAAAGGGGCTAACCAAATTCGTTGTTTGCAACGACCTGGAAGTACTCGTTGGGGCTCACATTTTAGATCTATTAGGAG